TGACACACTGTAACTGACACACTGTTCCTCGGGCGCCATTTTGCAGAAGTTCTTTTACTTTGAAACTTTAAACCCTTTTTGAATGACAGTGTTTTTACAGTGTAGCATTAATACTGCGGTAGTTAAAGTAGTGCTGAGATCAGTTTATCGATCAGCTGTCTGTCTCACATCTACCTGCAATAACTAATGTGTTTAAGATCCTGCACGAGGCGTGTTTTTATCTAATTAAGGTCAATTAAAGATGAGAGCGGAAGAGAGTGAACTTTAAAACTCACCAAACAGAAGATAATCCGCACACGGTAGAGCTGTCTGTCTGTCTGTCTGTCTGCCTCAGTGTGTGTCAGGTTGTCGGTTTGAGTCCCGTCAGTCGGTCATCCACCTGCAACTCGCGCTTCCTCTCCGCTGCAGCAGCTTGTTGCAACCAAAGATCTTCTCTGCACCTGCAGAGCTCTCACTCCTCAGGAGTACTGAAGCAAAGACTACCTTCACCGCCACCAGAGGGCGCAATGCACCAGCAGCTCTGAACCAAACAATGGCTCTGGAATCTTTTCAAGGACCCTGGAATCTCTTGAAGAACATGAAAGAATCACAATAAACGAGTTTCCAGGATGAAAAATATTAGAGGACAGAAGGACTTCAAGGATCCCTTTCTGTAGAAACCTGTAAAGCACCCTCCTGTCTGTGTGTGAACCTGCTCCACTTCCTGTTTCACGTCAGAGAAAGTTCTGTTTCACTGCTGACAGAAAGCTTGTGCTCAGGCCTCTTAATAATCCTTCATATACAAACATATATATCTATATTAATATCAATATCTATATCTATATATCTCAAAATTGTATATAATGTACAGCATTGAGATATTGATCTCTACTGACTGAATATGAATGACTTTCAAAATAAGAGAGCAATAACAGGAAGACGAAGAATAAAATATCAAACTTTTATTTCTTTTTCTTATTTCAACGTTTCATATTTATTTTATTTAAAGTGATCAATATGTGTGATCCGTTAAAACCTCGTATCTCCAGATCAAAAACAACAACAGTTCCACCATACGAGGTTCTCATCAGCTCAAACTGCTCCTGGTTGCTGGGGGCGACCAGCCATCACTGGTTGCTCGGGGCGACGGGGTTCCAGGGTTGTCTCCGTGGAGCTCCGTCTTTGTCCTTCCTCTCCAGAGGCTTCAGGTGAGACGACAGGACCAGGTCCCTGACAGAGACAGACACAGGTAGGACACAGCCTGGAACTCATTCCAGGAACCCTCTCCAGGCCCCTAAAGGCTTTCAAGGCCCTTGTAAGTTACATTTATGTGTGAGTTTGTATGAGTCGATTGTATGAGTTCCAGGATATGTTACATATCCTGGAACTCATACAAGGACCCAGGCAATGTATTGAAAGACTCCAGGACTCTTTCTGGAAGGTTTTCAAGGACCACAGGTCTGACCTGGAAGAGTTTCCAGGACCTGGAGTTACCTGAAACTGGCTGTAGGTCTGACCTGGAAGAGTTTCCAGGACCTGGAGTTACCTGAACTGGCTTGGGTCTGACCTGGAAGAGTTTCCAGGACCTGGATTACCTGAACTGGCTGTAGGTCTGACCTGGAAGAGTTTCCAGGACCTGGAGTTACCTGAACTGGCTGTAGGTCTGACCTGGAAGAGTTTCCAGGACCTGGAGTTACCTGAACTGGCTGTAGGTCTGACCTGGAAGAGTTTCCAGGACCTGGAGTTACCTGAACTGGCTTGTAGGTCTGACCTGGAAGAGTTTCCAGGACCTGGAGTTACCTGAACTGGCTGTAGGTCTGACCTGGAAGAGTTTCCAGGACCTGGAGTTACCTGAACTGGCTGTAGGTGACTCTCTGGCCGACCGCTCTCAGTTTGGCCTCATTCTCTCTCTCGTATCTCTGCTCAGACTCGATCGCCCGCTGAAGCTCTCTCTCCAGCGCAGAGAAATCGATGACATCATCACGCCTCGCCATCACCTGATGATGTCACACAGGTAGTTTTTTATTGAAGGTAACTCTCAATCAAACAGGAAGTCTAATCAATATCTCCTTTCCCTCTCACCTTATTGATAGATTGATTATTTATATTATCTGTTTAAAAGTTGGATTTTCTGATTGTTAATCAATACTTTGATTTCTACATTTATAATCTCAAGCTTTCCAATACATTCAGTCATTGATCAGAGTATTCTTACAGTATTGATCAGAGTATTTTACTGTATTGATCAGAGTATTTTACTGTATTGATCAGAGTATTTCTGCTCATTTACAAACATTAACAACCGTCATTGAACGCATCTCCGCTAACTGTTTTGTTTAGGCTAACATGCTAACGTTAGCAGCCTTCAACCCAAACCACACTGAGCCAATTAAACTTTATCGATTCATTAAACTGATTGATTATGTCAACGCAGTGTCTTTGAACGCAGCTCAGCGGTTAACAGGTGAAACATCGTACCTGCAGTAGCTTCAGCTCCTCGTGCTCTTTGTGTTCAGGTGTGTTCAGGCTCCTCGCGGGTTATAAACAACAAACCGTCTCCATGACGACGGGTCGCGGGACGGCGCCTGCGCACTGGCTGATCCAGAGCGACTTTTCAGAATAAAAGTCTGATGTTGATCCAGTGAAGCTGACGGTTCAGGAGGCTGTAAACGAATAATCATATCAATAATCAATAAGTAGAGAGTAACTCAGTATTTTAAGGTACTTGTTATTTACTAATTACTATTTAAATTGTATATTACTTTATACTTCTTGTACACAACTGAGAGCTTTAGTTACTCAGATTATAACATCAAATCAATAATGATTTTACTTATGATTTTAATATTAAAACACATTAATTATTGAGTTCATCTTTATGATTCTTTATCTGCTCTGGTTGTGCTGACACTGTGAGTGATATAAACTTTAATCGACTTTAACAAACTCATATAAAAATGAAACCAATAAGCAGAAATAGTTTCAGTGTTTTCCTCAGCTACAGATAATCAATAATTAGATTATTAGGATCCACTCTGGAAGAGGAAGAGGATGCAACAAGATGAAGAACCAGAGAGGTCTCCAATGTGCAGCTGGTAAGACATAGGCGAGGTCATGTGACCTCAGGTGACATCAGAAGGCATAGAGAGGGGGCGGAGCCTGCAGGTGATCCAGGTACATAAAGACTAAATGAAAGTGCAGGTCAGATCCAGAACCAGCGAGCAGGACGGCTGAGAGTCGGTGAGTGTTTTAATCTGTGAACAGAAAATAGAAATGAATCATAGAAAGTGAAGTTGTTTGTGTTTCTGCCAATCAACAGTTACATATTGACTTTTATCTCTACATTGATTGTTGAAAGCTCTATTTCATTTGATTTGCTGTGTAATGTTTGCTTTTATATTCTGTCTCTGCACATATTGTATTGGATGCTATAGAAATAAAGTTATTATTATTATTATTATTATATAACAGAATGAATATGATTGAAGTTTAAAGTCATTTAATTCACACAATATCATCCTTTATATTGTTTATATGTTTCCAGCACACTGTAATATCTGACACGTTGATCCTATTTTTGAAAAAGGTAAGTTAACTTCATTGTTACTTTAAAGGGATGTTTACTTTCACTTTCACCTTTTTAATAAAACATATCAGTAATATATTTAAATGTTTAAACTCATTTGTGTTATTAAAAATATATCCAAAAGCTTTAACTGAAGTTAAAATTGTTCTATTTATTTCAATCTTCTTCTCATCAGATTCCCTTTGTTCACAGTTAGGTTGCTGTGGGAGTATTTCCTGGTGTGAATGTTGACGTGAACCAACTTGTTTTTCTTTAATCTTTTGTGATCTCTTCTTCAGCCGCAATGCAAATATGAAAAATACTTTCAGTATCACACTGATTTCAACTGACTAAGAAGAGCTCAGAAATCAAAGTTCCACCAAAATCACTAAATACAGTTAGAAAGTAGTGCCTAACGTAGCTATTTGTAGCTATAAGTACGGTGCTTGTGTACTCTGGTGAGGCGTCAGTTAGTTGTCTGGCTTACGGCCCTCAGAGAAGACCACTCTAGCTGCCCTCCGGCGGCCATCAGAAGAGAGGAAAGGTATTGATAGACGGCAGCATTTAGTATTACGCCCGAGTGCAGATGAGTCATAAAACATACGGTCTCTCTCTATGATTATCAGGAAACTCTAAAATCCATTAAGAAACAAACCTGGGGAAGATACCTGAAAGACAGGACTTCCTGTCACCTGTTGGACAGAAAAACTGGAGGACAGGAGGACGCGGACAGAGACACTGAAATACTTGATTTTCTGACTTTCATGGGG